ACCCTCCATTCCCTTTGTCTTTAATGGGAGTTGAGAATGCTCAGCACCTCACAAGAGAAGCTCAGTCAGCCTGTTGCAGAATCAGACCCTAAATGAACAGGGCAATAATAAACACTATGTGGCTTCAAACCCTAAAAGCTATGGGCTGCTTCCATGGAATTCATGTGTTATTTATGCAGCAAACAAAACAAAATGTCCTTTTATGCAATGTTTACTCTCCACATAAATTACTTCTGTCTGCAGTTTATCAAATTCTCCATGGGCAAATGGTTTCACTCGTTTATTCTCTTTTGTGCTATGTAGTTTCCTGAATTCAAAATCACCTTTTGTCCTTCTAGCAACCATTTTTGTAGAAGCAGAGCACTATCATGGTTCTTTAACCCTTATGTGAAAAGGTAAAGAGCCCACCATCTTGCTAAATTTCTAGGGACATGCTGGTAAGGGTATGAAGAATTACCATTCACCTTCTATATCTTCTTGCATCTGTTTTCCTCCATAGATGGGAGGATATAATACTGATGGCAGTATATAATACTGATGCCATATATCCATACTCAGGTCCTAGAGTAGATTTTTCTCTTATATTTTTCTGAACCTGGACATTTTCATTCCATTGAAAACTTTAACCCATACAAAAGTAGAAGGATCTCAGGCTAGATGATCATAATGATATCTTCTGGGCTTGAAATCTATTAAGACTATAATGGAAACTATTTTGCAACCCTCACCTACCGTGGGTGCTACAAGCTCATTTGTCCACAAGCAAAAAAATAGCATTAATGCATTGTTTAGGTTGAGAAATCAAGCCCTCGGAAGTTAGGAAATTCCATAAGCCATGGTGCTCCTCCACGGTTAATCTAGCCACACTCAAATCCTATACTTCTTATGAAATATGTTTAAAACATAGGGCCAGATCCTCAGCTGGCTTTGATGGAGCTATGCTGATTTACACTAACTGAAGAGCTGGCCCAGAAACAATACTATGTTAATGTTTATATTTTACAAGAAAAAGCAGGAATATCTATGAAACAAGGGGCTGTTAATGTTACCTGAATATCTTGTTGGGGGGGGGGTGGCAGCAATGGGGTATTGAGGCTTTTACTTGTTCAGATTTAGCCCATTTCAAATAATGAGTAAGATGTGACTGCTGTTTGGTGACTTATATGTGGTCTCAGTCCAATTCCTAAAGAAAAAATGTCTTCACCACAAAAGAACATTACCAGGATTGGCACTAGCTGGTACTCTTCTTGGCAATCTCAGCACAGAGACTGTCACCAGGTGGATGCCTCCTGAGCACTTCCTAATGGCCAACAGCCCCCTGCGTCAGTTTCCACCTTCAAGGGGCTTTCTCCATGACTCACAGACCCTTTTGTCCATTCACACCCCTTCTGAGGTTCTGATTTATTAAATTAACAAACATTCAAAATAAAGTTCTCCAGTCTTTCCTCAAGTCCACCCCATTACATCCCTATCAGGTCACTCCCATGCTTTTCCTGCCTGAAGTCTCACTCCGCAAATCCCAGGTGCCTCTGCCGGAGCCTACTCTCACCCATCAGCCTCAATAATCCACTCTATTCTCCCTGAGAACTCACTCTGCAGTTTCCTTCTGCTCTTTATAGGAGAATCAAGTGATCCTTGCTCAGGTGTGCCTCATTAGAAATCAGGGTTGGCTGCCCTCAGGCCTCTAGCCCATAAAGTGCCAAGCCACCCTGTTACAGAGACCAAGGATTGAATGGGCCACAGAGACTGAACTACTAACTCACCCCTAGCAGTGGTCTCTCCAGATTAGGATGACGGCCCATTGACATTGCTGCTGTTATCTGCAATGTGACTAGCTGGAGGACTTTAGGTTGGACTTTTCACAAGCGTTCAGTGTTGGCCTAAATCTACTCCCATTGAAGTCAATGGTAAAACTCCCACTGATGTGAATGGAAGCAGAGTTAAGCCAACAACGAGCAGTCATGAAAATTCCCCCATTAATATGCTACCCTCAATCGAGCATCTTTCATGAGCACTTGCTTTTTTGAAATTTCAGAAAAACTGCACTACTGCCGTGTGTACTTCATTTTTGCCTTTCAACGATGTATGCACTAAACGCACATTACTGATGCTTATTTAAAGCAATAACAATAATACAGTCTCTTATTACCAGGAAGTGACTATGATATTATGAACAGTTAATACAACAGGTAAAAGCTGGCATAGTTTCAATAGTTCTCTTCTGGGCGCTATTTTGGACCTGACCCTGCATCTACCGAAGTTCATGGCAACACTCCCATTGACGGCAGTGGGTGCAGGATCAGAGTCTTTATCCATATAGATATTCAGAACAGAATGAGAATTTTAGACAATAACTGAAATATAAAATAAAACAATCAAAACCTTACAATCTATCATGTAATTATTATTCCTTTATTTAAATTTGAAGACACACAGTTCAGCTAGTTCAATGCTCCACGGACTTTGACAGAGCTATACTAATTTATGCCAGCTGAGAAACATAAGACCATAAGAAAGGCCCTACTGGGTCAGACCAAAGGTCCATCTAGCCCAGTATCCTGTCTTCCAACAGTGGCCAGTGCCAGGTGCTCCAGAGGGAATGAACAGAACAGGCAATCAAGTAATCCATGCCCTGTCGCCTATTCCCAGCTTCTGACAAACAGAGGCTAGGGACACCATTCCTACCCATCCTGGCTAATAGCCATTGATGGACCTATCCTCCATGAATTTATCGAGGTCTCTTTTGAACCCTGTTATGGTGTTGGCCTTCACAACATCCTCTGGCAAGGAGTTCCACAGGTTGACTATGTGTGGTGTGAAGAAATACTTCCTTTTATGTGTTTTAAACCTGCTGCCTATTAATTTCATTTGGTGACCTCTAGTTCTTGTGTTATGAGACGTAGTAGTACTTTCTCTACACCAGTCATGATTTTATAGACCTCAATCATGTCTCCCCTTAACCATCTCTTTTCCAAGCTCAAAAGTCCCAGTCTTATTAATCTCTCCTCATACGGAAGCCATTCCATACCCCTAATCATTTTTGTTGCCCTTTTCTGAACCTTTTCCAATTCCAATATATCTTTTTTGAGATGGGGTGACCACATCTGCACACAGTATTCAAAATGTGGGAGTACCATGGATTTATAGAGAGGCAACATGATAGTTTCTGTCGTATTATCTATCCCTTTCTTAATTTTTCCCAGCATTCTGTTTGCCTTTTTGACTGCCGCTGCACATTGTGTGGATGTCCATAAAGAGTATAGTTTGGAATTGATAGCTCTGGTAATGTGTTAAGATGGAACAGTAGAAACCTCATTGAATGAAACTCTACTCACAGGGAAACAAAGTGAAAGTCTCACACTGTTTCAGTGCATTGAAACATGACAGCCGTATGTCTGGTTACTGTGGATTTCTGCATATAGGGTAAAATTCACAGCACAAAGGCTGAGTATAAGTCTACATGGAGGTGGAGAGAGCGGGGAGAGAATCTATGTTTATATTGTGTCAATTAGTATAGTGTCTAAGCATGGAGGTATCTAGTATCTAAAATACGCCCCAATCCCACTAGAGAAGTGCAGGGTAGTTAGCTATGCTAACTATAGCTGCTACACTAGCCTGTCGGCTGAAGTAAGGGCATGCAGGGATCACAACATGATGTGGGAATCTGTGGCCATTGGACCCTCACATCTCACAACTCTCCCTCAAATCCGTGCTGTTTTGATCTTCATAGAGCTGGTACAGAATCTAACTTTGCTATAGACAGGGGTTCAAAGTCCCTTGGTTCTCATGCTTCATCATTGTTGTGTGGGGGATGGGCAGACCCACAGCTCTTGTACTGTACTGGGAGGCCTTCCACAGACAAATTTCACATGAATTGATGTCATATTGTGGAATCAAAGACAGTTCTACTAAACATACAGCACATGTCTCACCAGAGGTATGTTATACTGTGAAAGCCTTTTATTTCCAAAATTCAACATTAAGCTTGGATTGTCATTTAATATCTACCTAATTCTGGAGTTACAGATAGGTAAGCACCTTAGCTATATACTTTAGGAACCATAATATAGTTAATACGTAAAATATATGCATCTTTAACATTTGAATGTACTGCATAGAACTAGATACTTCAAGAAATGTTTGTTTCTTTTTTTAACATTCTAAAAATGTGAGGACATGTTCCAATAGCAGTTTTGCATTAAGGACTACTGTCACTAACTATAGAAGCTCCAAACCTGAATACCCATTTGGGAACCACCACCTCCACAGTCTCCTTTAATTAAGGCCTGCTATACCACAAACTATAGGTTCATTTCATCCAACCATTCTTTTTCATATGCAAAATGACTAGGATGTCTTTTATACAAAAAGCAACAAAGAGTCCT